TTGCCTTCTCATTGATCAGGAACACCTCTGTTTTGTCTGGATTAAGTTTCAGTTTGTTTGCCCTCATCTAGTCCATTACTGATACTAGGAGCCTTGTGGCACAATGGTCGAACTGCTGTACTACAGCCAAAACTGTGCTCATAACCCAGGAGTCAATCCTAGGAGCTGGCTCAAGGTTAATTCAGCCTTCTGTCCTTCCAAGGGTGGTGAAATTAGTACCCAGCTTGCTGGGGGGGGCAATGTGTAGTCTGCATAATTAACTTGTAAACCACCCAGAGAGTGCTTTAAGCTTTAAGCACTAAGGGGTGGTATATAAGCAGCACACTTTGCTTTTTTACTTTGCTTTAGGCACTGGTTTAGAGCCAAGACAGCTTCCTTGGAATTGGATGGAAAGGAGAGATAGAGTTGGATCTCATCTGCACACTGGTTACACTGAACCCCAAAACTCCAGACAACCTCTCCTAGTGGTTTCATGTAGATGTTTAAAAGCATGGCAGACAGAACAGAACTCTGGGGAATACCACAGGCCAATGGGCAGAGCATTGAGCAGGAGACCACCTCCCAGCACCATCTTCTGATTTCTCCCTTCCAGGAAGGATCGGAACCACTGTAAAACAATGCCTATAAGTTCCATGCCAGAGAGATGGTCCCGAAAGATACCATAATTGATGGCATTGAAAGCCACTGAGACAGGAGTCAATCCTAGGAGCTGGCTCAAGGTTAATTCAGCCTTCTGTCCTTCCAAGGGTGGTGAAATTAGTACCCAGCTTGCTGGGGGGGGCAATGTGTAGTCTGCATAATTAACTTGTAAACCACCCAGAGAGTGCTTTAAGCTTTAAGCACTAAGGGGTGGTATATAAGCAGCACACTTTGCTTTTTTACTTTGCTTTAGGCACTGGTTTAGAGCCAAGACAGCTTCCTTGGAATTGGATGGAAAGGAGAGATAGAGTTGGGTATCATCAGCATGATGATGTCTGTGGCTTTTATTGACAAGAGTGATTTCCATAATACCTAGAGAAGACCTACGGAAATAAATAGGATTTAAGCTAGTTGCTACTAGCAAGCCCCATTCATTTCAATGCTCTTCTCTTGAAAAGACTAATAGTTAGATGTAGCATGTAGTGGAACTAGAGTAAGTTCACTGAGTGAGTAAATTAAATGAGACTTTGGTGAGTCAACAGTTTTGAAAGTCTCATTGATTCAGTGGGTCTGCTTTATTTGGGATTACCAGTCAACTTAGCCCAAAATGTTTCTATTGCCCTGATGTGTTCTCAGCATAGTCATTCACCAAGGCAACCAAAACCGTCTTTGTCCCATAGCCAGCCCTTAAACAAAATTGAGGAGACTCTAGGTAATCCATTCCCTCTAGGAATCCTTGGAACTCAGAATCCACCATACGCTCCAGAACCTTGCCCATTCATTCATTAGGCATCCTTCAGTCTCGAAAGACTATGGTAATGTGCTCTGTATGGAGGATTTGGAACAGTGTCTAGTGTGGCTGAGGAGGCCAATTGGAGACTGACAATCCCTTCCACATGGAAGACAAATCCAATCTTTCCCCTGTCCATCTACCTGATTTTGCTCCTTTTGTGACTTCCTCTTTGTCTCGGCCTGCTGGACAAGGGTCTCTTCAAATTGGGAGAGGCCATGGTGCATTGCCTGCCTCCAGGCTGAATGCTCAGATGTCAAGGTTTCCCATCTGTTGAGATCCATTCCTAAGGCCTTCAGATCCTGCTTGCAGGTATCCTTGTATCGCAGCTGTGGTCTCCCTCTGGGGTGATTTCCCTGCACTAATTCTCCATATAGGAGATCCTTTGGAATCCAACCATCAGCCATTCTCACGACATGCCCAAGCCAACCTAGACGT